GAGCACCTTGCCTCTAGCAGGCATCACCTCGCAGGCCAGAAGCTCTGCGGTCACCAAGTGCCGTGCCGTGGATGGTAAGCTTGCTGCCTACCCAATCAAACCTGTGGTTTCCCTGATAGCCCCACGGATAGTTGGTGGAAATAAGGTGCATTACATGGCGCTTTTTCGTTCTTCACACATACTGTTACTACACCAAACCCCAACAGTTGAAGTCGGTGCGTCAGTCACGCACTTTACCGCACTTTCCTGATCGGATCCCTGCAAGATGGGATATGGCAAACGTATGGAGCCTGAACTTCTTCATATGATGAAGGGTGTGTGCGCTCTAGCCTGCTTTCCTGGCCTCTGCCATTCATTCCAAACAAGCCACATTCACATGCTGCCGATACCTCCCAATCTTTTCTCTGGCAAATGCAGTGCAAACGACATGGCTTTCAGATTGTTGCATGCTGTTTGACAATTTTGCAGGGTTCGAACTCTGACCACATCCAAAAATAAAAGAGCCAAACATGAACACTGCTGTCGGTTCTTTCAGCTGCTGAGGACTACTATTCAGTTGGGTTCGGTCGGGATTGGGTGGGAGGGAGAGGGGGCTCGCGCCTGCACGCATCACAAAGGCGTTGGGTAGCTTGCCATGCACGCTAACAGGAAGCTTGCAGGAGAAGCGCTCGCGACGTTGGTTGCTGGCTGAGGTTGGTCGATTGCCTAACACATGGCACGAATGAGCGGTTGCATGCAGGTTCCTTTTCAAACCATCCAAATTGGTCCCAAGTTTTGACCCCTCACCATACCGCGTGTTACTGCATGATTTGCCCATCGAGAGCTGCAACTTTGACTTGGGTTGTGCAAGTTGCGTTTGTGTTTGTGTTTGTGCCTGTGTCTGTGTGTCGTGTCATCCTCAGCGTACCTTGTCAACGGAGCTGGTGCAGCAGTGCACAAGTATATAATCGTGCAAACAATCACAATGCCATGTTTTCTCCCACGGCCAATGGGAATGGCCATATGCAGGGACATGATGGATCTGCTCTTGAGCAAAGCTGTGAGCCGTCAAAACATACAGCGGAAAGCTTCAACTGCTGTCAGTATGTGCCTGTGCCCTCTCATTGATCATGTCACTTCTGCATCGGATCATATTGAGTGCCTCCATCTCTTGGCTTGCTCTCCCAAGAAAAGGCACAGTGGATGATAGGGATGTATCATTTGAGTATCCCCGCAGCTACATTGGGGGACAATGCCTCCCCCCCCCTACTGGTGATTGACCCCACCTGCGCAGGGGCGGCGGCCAGGAGTGGGCCTGAGTGATTTTCACCCAGTCCACTTGGAAGTCGTTGAGCGGCACTTGAATCACTCGGGGTTGGTCTGGCCCACTGCAGGCTCTTCTTGCGTTTTGGGGAATGTTCTTCCATGTTGCGTACTCTTATTCTCGCCTCTTGTGCCCGTGAGCGGGACTAAATCTCTTCATGTGCTGCGAGTTCCATATTTTAGAACGTGTCTTCTCAAACATCACAATTTTGGGATTGTTCCGAAACACACATGTTGAAGCCATGATTGCTGAAGCCAATTGGGCCAAGTTTGGCAAGCGCCCGAACACGTTGGCCAAAGAGCTGCTTGGCTCTTCTGGCTCTTAGGCCCAAATGTGGCTGTGGGATGTGAGGTTTGCAGCTGAATGTTAGCTCTCGGAGCAATCTGCCGCCTCTCGAGGCGTCCCAGTCTTTCAGGACCCCCAAGGACATCTCGTGCCCGACATTCTGCAAGTGAACCAACCACAATCCAGGTTCCTTGCAACATTTCGGGCACCCCGGATTTCCATCCGCTTGGATGGGATGCGCAGCTGACTTGGCACCCCGCTGAGGCCAAGAGCTGCGAACCGCGAGGCATTCGGGCGAACTTGGGATGCCTTGGGCTCTGCACTCTGAAAGAGTCAGCTGGTCCGTAAGCATTGCACACTTCCATTTAGCTAAGACCATGGACAAAAATGAACATATTTCCAGTAGTGATAAGTTCCTTTTAAAACCAACAAGCGGAAAAAACAAAAACACACATATTCTTAAGCAAATGGAAGCAAACGGTGGCAGAAGATTTAAACCCGGACACACTTCAATCAGAGAGTACTCGCAGGAAAGTTCCGGCAAACCGCTCTATCTGCTGTGGATCCAGCCTCCAAGGAGACAAATCCTCCGCCCCATGTCCTCAGAAGGGCACTGGAAGCTGATCTTTGAGATCTGCGACTGTGTGGCTGGATGCGGGCTCAAGACATGACCATCTCCGTCTGACCTTGCTTGCTCCTCCTCGGTGTTCACTCCCGTGGATTGCATATGTTTCACGTGGACTGTGTTGAACCACCCAAAGACACCATCATACATGATTGGCAATGATTGGTTGCAGAAGCCAGGCTGTTTTAGCACTGTTAATTGTTGTTCAGCATCAGTGAACATCAAGGGTGGCTTTTTCCAGGGCTAAAACAAGCTGCAGCCTTTCGTCCTCTGCGGACACTTCGTTGAACTTTCAACGGAGGTCGAATATATTCGAATATCATCTCGGGGCCCTTTGCGACCTCTTAGCCGAAGCACTTGAACCTTCGTGAGAACGCATCCTTCCCTGCCTACCAGCCACACAAGCATCATGTTACCCAAAGTGGCCATTCGTGCCAAAATGCCCTTCAGTGCCCTTGGTCCCATTTTGGGAATGCTATCTTGGGCCTCGCACTTTGCAGCTGCCAACCCCAGCACCGCCGCCAAACACCTTGGCTTCCAAATCCGTCCCCCACTCAGGTCGTCCTCTCTTGCCAGATTTGCCTGCCACCTCCGCTCTGCAGGCTGATGCCGAACAAACAAAACACTTGTAGTTGTGCAAGGACCGAAGCGCATCAACTTACATCCCATGCCAACAGCATGGCCGTTCTGGGAAGCTCAAAGCATGGCTCAAACTAGCAACAAACCAAAACAAGAAACCAGCTCTGGGGCAAGTAAGCGGATCCAAACACAGTTTTCGACAACATCCGTTTTCTGGGAAGAAACATATAGGTATATAAGGCTCAATTGTACATGGGGCAGGTACACTATTAGCAAAATACACCACACGAAACAATTACGGGTAAACTCAACATTGGAGCATCGTGTCACACCTAGGCCATCGCCGACGGCCGCGCGGCTGCCGCATCTTGGCCTCGCAAGAAGGGCACGCGGCAAGCGGCCATCTGACTGAGACCTGCGCATTGGATGTTTGGCTAACTGGAAACCCCAAAGTCTACATTTCGACATGCCCCTGAGGGGTGTACTATGCCATCTTTGAAGGCTGGCAACTGCGGAAAGATGGAACTGGCAAGGTTTGGCAAGCCAAGCAAGCAGATGCTGGATCCTTGGACTCCTTTTCCCAAGGAACCAACGTGATGGTTCCATGATTCACCCAAGCCGGTCGCATCAAACATCTGTCTGGAATCTCAGCTCTCATCGGGTTTGCTAGCATAGCATTGTAGATTGATAGCCGTTAAACGCATGGCCTGGCACGGACCAAACAAGACAAGCTCCTCAAATAGCCCGGCGCGCCACTGAGGCAAACAGCAAAGTAGGTATGATGGTCAAACATGCTCTGCACTCCTGTAAATCTTCCTGCAGCAGAATCAGCACTGCCACGGCTCCTGAGTTCTCTATCTCAAGCTACCTTCAAGTCGCGACAATGCAGGTGCTTGCCACGGGCTGTACTACAAGTGGCCCAAAAGGACATGGTAAACCTCAATGTTCTCCCTAAAGCAGTGGTAGTCCGATACAGAGCACCACTGGATATCCGCCGACATTGCTCGGCGTGTCGGACACCTAAGAGAGGATAGAGGATAACCCCCCCCCTAACCCCCCCCCGCCCGACGTCTGATACGTGGGGGGGGGGGGCCCCAAGGACCGCGCGGCAATTTGATGACGTTCCACTAAACGTAGTCTTCGGGGAGCCGGTGTCGCAAAACAGGGGTCCCAGGCTCGATTCCCCCTGCCGGCTCTTTGCTGGTTTGGGGTTCCTGCCTCCTTTTGCAGAAAATCTGGAAAAAACTCTGTGTTTTTGGACGTCCTAATTGTGAAAACGCTGGAAAACCCGTGTTTTTTGCTGGAAATATTGGGGAGCAGAGGGGAAATGCAAGGAAGTGCAAGTGAAATGAGGGGAGGAAATAGGAAGTCGACATGACAGGAAAGCAGCGGGACATGAAAGGGAAACAAAGGGGAACTGAAAGGGACATGCAAGGGACAGAAATGAAAACAAGGGGAGTGCAGGGGGAAGGAGAGGAAACAAAGCACAAGGAAACCAAGCACGACGGGAGATGTAGGGAAATGACTCGCAACGAAAGAACGGGACATACATGGCAAATGAAGCGGACATACCGAGAAAATGTCAGGGACATGAAGGGGGGGCTGAATGGCATGGAAGGGACAGGACCAGGACATCATGGGAAACGTGACAAGGACATGAAGGGGGAAAGCCAGTAGTGAGATGACAGTTCAGGGTCATGCAGGGGCAGTGCCCGGACATCGAGGCAACTCGGGGGGGGACGTGACGCTGCAATGCAGAGAGAGAGAGACAGAGAGAGAGAGAGAGAGAGAGAGAGAGAGAGAGAGAGAGAGGGAGAGAGCGAGAGAGAGACAGAGAGAGAGACAGAAAGAGAGAGAGAGAGACAGAGCCAGAATCAGAGAAACAGAGAAAGAGACAGACAGAGAGAGAGACAGCGAGAGAGAGAAAGACGGAGACTGAGAAAGAGAGACACAGAAAGACAGAGAGAGAGAGAGAGAGAGAAAGAGAAAGAGAAAGAGAAAGAGAAAGAGAAAGAGAAAGAGAAAGAGAAAGAGAAAGAGCGAGAAAGTGAGAGAGTAGAGAGGTTCGAATTAGGGTGCCCTTTTTCTGTAGAGGGGCGTGGACAGGAAGGAGACAGGGAGACAGAAAGAGACAGAGAAACAGAGACAGCGAGAGAGAGAGAGAGAGAGAGAGAGAGAGAGAGAGAGAGTGGGAGATTGAGGAGAGAGAGGCTTGGGGGGATGGGGAGAATGGGGAGCAGAGGGAGGGAGAGAGGACGACAGAACGCACGAGGGAGACAAGGGAGAGGGAAGAAGGAGAAAAGGGAGAGGACAATGTCGGCGGACTGAGCCGGAGGCTCTAAAGTACAATCTACACGGAACAGTGTCATGTCGGGGATACTCACACAATCTCGTATGTTTTACGCCCTTCCAGTCTACAGCGGGGATGTGCGATGTAATTATGAATCACTAGTTTCTTGATCCTGCATATAGGAACGTGTTCAATTCCTTTTTCTGCTCATCCGCGCCAGAAAGTGCCTGTCAGCATGTTCGCCTTTTGACCCCCTATTTGGTTGAACATATACTGAACATATATGCCCCGACAAATCAGTGTGGATATGAAAACCCTGCTTTGGGGAACCACGCTGTTTCCATGATGGAAAAGGCAAAAGGCACACCCGGCCAATCAGATTGTCCGTGTGTTAGATGGGGGTCTAGAAAGAATGCATCTTATATAATTCATCCCCTTGTAGTCTTCGTGTGCAGAAGCGATAGTAGCAGCTAATATCGGCCCGCTGGCAAGCCCTCCCGTTCTCAGGCCTGGCAGCGCATCTTGACTGCACACCGGCCCCGTATAAAAAAAACAAAACTGGCTGCGCCGGAAGACATGCCGAGAAGCGT